AGGTTTAGAGTGACAGCAACATTTTCCATTCTCTGCTGACTTTTCCCACTCTTCCTGCAGGTACCTGGCGATACGCTGAGGAAAGCGATCGGATTCTCGTTCAGGCAGTGTGCCTGCAAATCAGGGGGCAGATCCTGCAAAAGCTTGGTAAGGCTCCTTTCCATAAACATCCACTTGAGGTTTTCCCCCTTTTTTTTTTTCCTCTAAAATGTTACATTGGACATTATATCAGAGTTCTGGCTCGTGTTGAACCCCTCCAGTCCATAAAACAGCATGATGGGCTTCTGTATTCAGGGTCTGACGCTTGAGGGAACAGTGTTAATTTTATGCTTTTGGTTTGAAACACCAAAGTGTTCCATGACTGTTGAGTTGGAGTCTCCTATGAGAATAAAATGGTGTGGTTTTATCCTGTGGAAATCCTTCGCTGCCATCTGCTCAGTGACTGTTTTCTGGTTGATTTCAGGGATGTGGTATGAGGCAGCAGAGTTGATTTGGGCTTCGCTCGTGGGATACTTCAAACTCCCTCAGCCAGATAAGAAGGTAGTGTTTCCTTTCCACTCTGGATGTGCTTGCCAGTCCAATAATCATTCCAGAGTAGCTTTTGCTTGCAGCAGCAAAGTCCCTCAGCAACAGTGTCTCAATTACACACCTCAGCCAGGGTTAACAGGCAGCACAAAGTCTGTATTCCGCGTTGTTTCCGCATGCATGCACGGACCTACAGACACTTTTTTTTCCTGCAGGGCCATGGAAGTAATAGTTCTCATTAAGCAGTATCACCCAGAGTGCACCATCAACCAGAATGTCACAGGTGCCTTCAGCAAGGACAGACTAATCCCAGAATGCAGCCACAGATTTTAGGTTTTTTAATCAGGATTAAAATTGATTTTTTTTTTTTTTGTCTTAGCTTTCCTAGTGTCCAAGCTAGGTTTATTTGCTGAGCTGCTCTACGCTACCTGTGGTAGGTGATGGATTTCTCTGGCACTACAGGAGCTGAACACCTCACAACAGCCACTGTGTCTGTCTAGCACCTTTGAGAGGCTTTTCAGCACTAATCTTCCCACTGGAGATGAAGCAACAGTTGCACCATGTGTCCGTAGCTAAACAGGAATGTGAACCTAAGCCTGGCAAGTCCCAGGGTGAGGCCTGAAGAGGTTTTGTAATTGGACCCCAGCACAAGATATCCCACAAACCCAGACCTCATCACCTCTCCTCTGCCATGCCTTAAAGCCTGACCTCAAGCTCAGAACATTTCTATTCAGTTCTCCATTTCAGTGGCAGCAAAGTTCTGTAGTGAGTTTTTGTGGAAAGCTCACAGTTGCTTCCTGGCTTTCTGAACTATTTATCTGGGCAGACCCTTAGGTGGCATCAGATCTTCCAGATGATACTTCCTGCAAGTTGTAATTAATAAAACCTTACCAAGATGACATCTCCAAATTTCTTAGAAATGCTTCTCTTTGGGTCTTTGAACCTTTGGATCTTGTTAGCTTGCTTTGTTGTTTGTCGTTTTTTTTTTTTTTCCTGGTATGTTCCACACACAGAACCTGCTTTATTCAGAGCAATAAAATTCAAAATTCAAGGGGAAAACCCACTCTGATCGTTTTCCATTTCTCTTTCAGGGAATTGCCACTTCTTTGGGTTTTATGGCAGACATCTTTGCTTCCATGAATGAGCAGGATTATGCACGTTTTAAAACCAGTGCTGACACTGACCTGGTGAGACTTGGTTTGGGATTTGTGTGTCTATATGTTGTCCCAAATTCACCCCCACTTTGTTCTCCCTCTCCTGGCTGAGAGGGCTGAAGAAACTTCCATTGTTCCCAGCGAAAAAGTTAATTAGCACCTAGATGAGAAAAAGAAAACATTGAGAGTGTTTTATAGAGCTTGTATGTCTGTAATATATAGAATATTTACAGGGTCAGAAAGCGACATGCTGATGGCAAACCTGAGCAAAAATGCTCCTGAGGAAACAGACCTGGCTGTTGTTTAAGATATGATGTCCCTGCTTATCAGGTCCCATCTCCTGGGAAATAAAGCCTTTGGCTGGAGGTTTTCCCTCATGTTTTTCTTTCCTTTCACTAGAACTTCCTCCAAGAGTCCAACCATCGCTTGTTATCTGCTGCTGAGGCCTGCAAGCTGGCAGCAGCCTACAGCCAGTACACCCCCCTGTTTGTCCTCACGGCCGTGGTAAGTGTTCATCTTCACTCTCCAAGTGGGATTTATGTAGGGGAGGAACCCTGGCTGTTAAATTTGCCTCCAATCCGGCTTTCAAACACTGAGTCACACGGGGTATCGTGTCTGCGTTGTGGGTGTGATTGGTTATGGGTTGCTCTGAACTCCAGCCAGGGTGGAAAACTGTCCACAGAGCAAGGATGGGCTTTCAAACCCTGGGAATGCTGCTTCTCCTACAACTACAGCTGTATTTCAAAGGAAAAAGAGGGAGATTATTCCCTCCAGGAAACACGGCAGCAGAGAGTTAAAGCCAATGTTTGCTTCAAATTGTGTAAGGGAAAGAAACGTGGGTTTAATTCCTTCATTCTTTCCTCCCCTCCCAGAACATCCGGGGGACGTGTTTGCTGGCCTACAGTCACTCCAAGGACTGTCCCCCAGAAAAGAGAGAGTTCTACTTGTCTGAAGCCAAAGAATCCTTCGAGATCGGGCTCCTTACCAAGAACGACCAGAGTCCCATCACCAGCAAGCAGGAGCTCCACAG